CTTGAGAAGCATCTATGGATGCAAGCCAGCGTTTTGGTCCTCAACCTTAAATGCTGGAAGCTGCAAGTGAGAGGAATAATGAGAAAAGCCCTGGTCATACCCTGTTCACTCTTTCTTTCAGCATCCACTCTCTGCCAAGCGTGACACAGGCCTGTTTGTTGTGCTGAGTGTCAGTAGGTTAGGCCCACCAGAAAAACTGTAACCCTCCCTCAGTTGGGGAGGGGCCCTGAAAACACAACCCCAGATCCCAGGGGACAACAAAAATAAAAACAGGGATGGGAGCTGGAGAGATCAAAGGTTAATGACAGGTGCTCCAAGGGGTGGCACTGAGCCAGCACCCACTGGCCCTCAGCTGAGTCCAAGGAACCAGTAGACACTGCTGAAGACTATGATACAGGATACTGAACAAGATGGACCAATGGCCTAACCCAGTAAATGGCACTTGTTATGTTCTTATCTCCCCTGAAGCAGAAGAGCTTATAGCTTGAGGGAAGCTGTGGTCTCAGGGTGCTAGGAAGTACTCTGCTCCACTGCACAAACTCCCTCGGGCAGAAAGCTCAGTGTCGAAGACCCCTATGCCATCTACCATCTTGGTGGAGTCCATGGCACCTACAGTAGAAACCCAAAAGACCCTTTGATGCTTTGGCAGGTGGTGCCTCTTCCTTGTGAGAGACAGGGCCTTTCTGTAAGGCCCTTCCACTTCCTGTGTGGCTGCAGCCAACCTAGGAACTGCTCCAAACACAGGAGGCGGGGACGCAGTCCTGACACAAGTGACAAATGTAACCTCTTCTTTTTAGACATTTCTATTGTAGCAGCTTCTTGCTGGGGAGAGAGGATTTTGAAACTGCTTTTGAGTCAAGCATTGCCAGCTCCTTGGACAGCACAGCAAGTAGCAGACAGCTGGTGTCTGGCGCCACCTGGACACACAGGAATCTCAGCTTTAGGTCCTTTCTTTTAGAGCAGGGGTGTTGGGTTTGCGGCCTGCAGGCTGGTAAAGGGACCAGCAATTCAGCCCTGCAAACCTCGCGAGGTTGGTAAAGGGATGGAGTCTGCCATGGGCATAGAGACATGTTGCCCTGTTGGGCCCATGTTGGCAGAAGAGGTGAAGCAATGGCTGTGTTAACCCGTTGTGGCTGCTGCTTTGGGGACTAGGGTCCAGCCTGGGGCATGGGGCCAGCTTGACACCATGGCTGTAAAGGCAACGCAGCCGGGCAGACAAGCCAAAGCTTCCAACGGCCCAAGCCCAGGGAGAAACCACAAGACACTGCACGGCTCCTTGGCTAACAGCTGACCTGACTTGATAGCCCAGCTCATGGCCTGGCTCAGTGCCAGCTCCACCGGCACTAACTCTGGCCCCCCTACGCGCGGGGGAGGAGCGGGGAGGGAGCACCTGCGCCTGCGCAGACGAGCCGCCTGCTGGTCCGCAGCCGCCGGGCTCCGGCCGGCCCTGCTCCCAGCG